CCCCAAAACCCCAAAACCCCAAAACCCCAAAACCCCAAAACCCCAAAACCCCAAATTCCCACACAGAACTTGAAAACACTGATGTGATAAATATGTGTTTAAAGCTATTTAAGATGTGGAGTTCTGACTTGAGAATCTAGATTAGTTTTAACAGGGAAAATAGTTCGAGACGGAAGGAACCAGGACAATGGGATTAGAGGTCACCTTGCTGAGCAAGGTGATTTTGGGCTGGTTTTATCTGATATACTAATAAAGTGAAGTCCACCAGAATCTTAAAAACACCATCCCACATACTCTAATCCATCTTAATGATCTTACCTTAAACACTATTATTTTCTCCATAAAATTATCTATCCCTGGTCAATGCGGACAAGCCTGCCTGCCAGGTAATTTTGTGACCGGTCATTAAGAGGATCTAGGCTGATGATCTGGCTGGGCTTGGTCGGAGGAGGCTGGCGTGTCGGCGAGATTTTGGAAGAGGAAGGAGGGTCTATGGGAGAGGCGGGGTCTGAGGAGTCGAAGCTGAGGTGGAGATCAGGGTTTTGGGCGAGGGCAGAGGAGAAGTCAGCGTCTTTGGAGAGGAGGTAGGCGGTTTGTCTCCGGAGGGTTTTTAGGGAGTAGACGATGTTGAGGCAGTCGAGACCTTGGTTTAGTTTGGCCATTGCTTGGTCCATTTTGTTGTATTTGTCAAGGATGTTGTGGAGGTTGCTTTTATTTGGAATTTTGTGAGTTTTTGTTTGAGTGGGGATTTTTCATAATTCCGAAATGGGGAATTTCGGAAGGTAAGTGTTCATTTGGGTGGTTGAGGTTGTGTTGATGGTGAAGAAGATTTCTTAATTGAATTGCTACAGAAAAAGTAAAGAGATGAAACTTATAACAGCAATCATCTAAATATTAAGTATACGCAGAAAAATAGATGCTTCAAAATAAACTTACTTTCTCCTCCAAAATTATCAATAGATCCTCCTTCCAGTAGCTTAAGCTGATCATTTTCATGCTTAGATTCTTCGTCTTGCTCTTCTTGGTTCTCCTTGTGGCTGAGTTCGTCTCCTTCTCCATCATTATCCACCCTAGATGTTTGGTTCTGTTTTACTTTAAGCTCCAGCTGCTGAATTCACTTTTCCATTTTGTCAAACTTGTCCTGGTACTTTTGAATGTCTTTGAAAATTTTCTTTTTGAACAGCACTGATGAGTAGAGACCCAGGATCATACCGAAACCTAATTCAAAAATTTCGAAGAGGCCTCCAAGAATACCTGTGACCTCAAGGAAGTTAAGCACGCTCCTTCGGTGTTGGTCAACAACAGAGTCCTTAATGATCGTAATAGTTATTCTCCCTGTATCATCATAAGGATCCAAATCTTCTTCCTGATAATCATAATCCTCCAATGAATTAAAATACACCGGTTCCGAATCCCACGGAAGAGTAAAGAACCCATCTTCAAGCACAACCTCATGTCTCCTTAACTTAAACTCAACCTTCACATGCTTATCAATCTTATACTGTATCTGATAAGTTTTATCAAAATATGGCTTTATCGGATTCTCAATATCATTCAAGTCAACATACCTATTCTCTACATTCACAAGTAGCACAGAGTTATTCACTGCTATTTTAGAAAGGGCGCTATCATCATAACAATCTCCCCACTTGCACCATGAATAGTAGAATTCAATGTATGAATGTTTCTTTGGATTCTGTGAGCTTCCTTCCAGCTCAAGACCTGAAAGATCGGGGCAATGAGGCTGTTCATACTCACCCCTGTAATAATTATCGGATATTGTGCTAAAGCTGCCCTCACAACTAGTGTTTGTAATAGGTGAAACGGTAGTTTTGTTTTCTCCTGTTACAAAATCTGTAGGATCCACATTAAAATAACTGTAATCAACCAATAAAGCTTTATCTAAGTCTTCCTTTGGTATAAACGTAGTATGGTATGCACTCCAATATATTTTGAATTTGGGATCTTCTTTAGCCCACTCCAATTTTGGGTTATCTAGAGCCAGATTTTCTCTGACACTATTGAGGTTCCAACTAACATCTGTCCTTTTGAACATGGTTCTCAGGAGAACAATACTGTATCCAAGCAAGATAAGCAACATGAGCATGGTGGCACCTCCTCCAATAATATTAGAGACATTGTCTTTTCCTCTGTAAGTCAGGGATATGCTCTGCCTGAATATGTCTCTGTTCTTTATCCTTTTGTAGGACCATTTGAGAGTCTTCAAATATCAATTTGGCATCTTTTCAATTAATAATAAAAGCTTAGGGGTTTTGGGGTTTTGGGGTTTTGGGGTTTTGGGGTTTTGGGG